GGGGGAGGACAGAAGAGAAAGGAGCTGTGTTACTGCGGCAACACACACCTAGCCTTCCCAGTGTAAGAATAACAGCCCTGCAATTGCTCACAGCCAATTGCACGTTTTGGTAACATCAGGCAGTCAATTACTTTTAACAGGGTATATGGTTCTGTGTATTTTTGCCCTGATGGTACTATTTAGATGGAAATTGGAAAGGTTAGATCAAGGGAGGTTGTTTTTTTTGTTTTTAATTATTAGCTTAGCATAACTTTCAATCTTATGCAACATGTTTGAGTTTAAATAAATGAGTGACTAGTCAAGTGCCAAATAACAAACGCTTGGCATTTACTCATTGCCAAAGGCATTTTGGGATGTTGATAATAGGGGGAAGCCTAGCAGATTTGTTTTCCTGAATGATTTTTAGGACTCTTTAGTAAGAATGCTCAAAAGAGACTCTGGCATCTACATATCCGATAGAAAAAAAGTAACTTAAAACCTGTCCAATTATGTAATTACCATTACACAAGAAAAAACTGTGAAGAAGTTATTCTGTTCTATTAGATGCTTAAAATGCTTTATAAAAGCCCTGCCTATTTACATGATCCGTCAGCAGACCAGAAAGGTTCTTGTTTACAACAGCACCATGGAAAAACAGAACACTGTTGTTTGGGGTATGTGAAGTGAGGATGGACTGCAAACCTTATATTCCAACTTTCAGGCTAATGACCTTTCTAGTGAAAGCTGCAGTTGTGTTGCAGACTATAAGGTCAATTTGACTTTTATTATTTTAAAATAATAGAGCAGAAAAAAATGCAGAACGACAACGGAACCATAATAATTTGTCTAGCTAGGTCTTCTATAGATATTTTCTTAAGTATATGATGACAAGGTGTTAACAATTCATAGGGAAACATGACATCAAGTGACAATTTTGTAAATAGAGTAGTCAATGCCTGCTCAATGATGTGATGAAATAAAAAAAAAATAAATCAATTCAACATAACTCATGCCAGTTGTGTTATGGACTGCAGCATCAATAAGCTACAAGGTAAACAGCTGTCCAGGAAACCATAAAATGCTGAACTAAAATGGCTTCACGAAAGCAATTATCCAGACTATGGAGACATATTAAGTCTAAGGAATTCATGCTTCCTGTAGATACAACATACTATCATGTGTATTAGTAAAAAAGGAAGAAAAATTAATGCAATGAGAAATCCTTTCACGGGATAAGACTACACAGCAAGTGTCGTAAAGCAAATTGGGTCAGACTGAGGTCTGTTTCAACAACATTTAGCAAGAATGTAATGCTTTGTAAACACTAAGGACTGAATGATGGTTCAAGGCCGCATTGGTGACTCCTACACTTCCTCTGCCTTAAAAAGAGGGATACTACCTTTGAAAATCAGGGATTTGCTGGACAGTTTTTGACCAGGTGCCAGCTGCATTCCTCACTGCTAGCCAGCTGAAGTGGGGAGGCAACAGGGGTTTGAGTACAGAGATGCATTCCATCCATTTTATTCTATGAATTGTAATAGAATTCTCAAAACTAATGATACATAAGTGCAAAACCAACTCTGGTACCACAGCAAGTTTTAAAATATGATAGCTGCAGAAAAGGGAGGAGGGAATCATGAGCTGGATGTCCTTTAAATTTTTGCATATTGCAGACAGAAGACATTAGCACATCAAGGCCCTAATTAAAACCACTCTTCTTGCAAGTAAAATATTATTCAAAGTTATTAATCTTATAGATCAAGGAAATAACACAATTTGCCAAAGCTCTGTTACAGACTCACTCACACACACACACAAACAGGAACTAAGTTTCCTACTCTTCTCTCTTCACTACAAAACCATATGTATGCTAGTGTCTCAAAGCCACCCAAAAAAAAAGAGAATTAAGAGACTCATGAGACACACATTTTATCTCAGCAAGATCTTAAAGGGTGAGGGAAGGCAACACATGAGCGAACTGCAACTTGGAAAACATGACATCAGTAGCATCACTCCTAATGCAACGGTTTAGATAGAGCCTAAAGCTAAAGTGCCTAATTCCTTGTGATGAAGCGTATTACTTGGTAATCCAATGCTTTATTCATAGGGACTTGAGAGATTAAGGGAGAATTTAAGATATTGCAATGAAACAGATATTTTTGTATTCTACAAAGACGTAAACTGCAGTCTTGTTTAGTTGTTTTTATTATTT